CCTCTAACATTCCACGCAAAAAATATCGACATAATTATTAATGGTTGCGTTTGGCCTTGCGGCCACTCTTTCTCCCGGTAACCAGTTGAAAGCCTTCATCTTTAGCATCATAGTCAGCATGTGTGTGGTCTGACTAGAGCTCCTCCAAACGCCTCTCATCATTTGCATTGCAACCAGTGGGTTGAGAACCTTGCTCCGTTGTATTTTGCTCTTTTGAGGCTGTAGGACTTGCTGATTTACGCAACCCTTCATTACCACCAGCATCATCACAAACGTTAGCAATTCCTGCCCCTGTTGTCTGCTTAGTTATCTCACCCTCCTCCGGTTCTATAACTGTTTCAACATCCTGTTTCTGAATAGTCTCTGCTGTTATGACAGGTTTTTGAATATATTTGCCCTTAACAGATCGAGACCGTCCATGCCGAGGTTGATGCCGTTTCCTCTCCTTGCCACGAGAAGGACTTCTGTCTCGGCTGACCACTGTTCTTCCCCCTACAATGGCGTTGCGACATTTCTCATTCACATGCCCAAATCTCCCACAACTACTACACTTTACTGGTAGCCAGGGGTAAGTAACAGAGATTTCCACCTCACGACCGTTAGAGAATCCCGATATGATCTTAGAGGGTAGTTGTTTGGTAAGATCAACTCGAACATACATCTTAGCAACTTGGAAGTTTTCTTTGCGCTCTGTTTCCGGAGCAAGTGACTCGGGCTTACCAATAGCTGTGGCAATCCTGCTCAAGCTTTGGTTATTGAAAAGTAGGTAAGGTACATTTCGGAGCTCCACCGGGACTATGGCACTTGTTAAGGGAGCTTCCTCTGGAGCGAAGTCAGGAGACCACGGAGCGACAAACATTGGATATCCAGCGACATTCCAGCAAGTACGACTGAGAAGAGATTCCCGGGCTTTAATGTTCGTGACTCTCAGCAAATAGCATCCTTTGCCAATGTTATGAACAAAGATCCTGGGTCCCGATTTTGCCCAAATAGCGTTTACTACACCAATGATACGACCCATGGATGGGAAGTCACTGTGGAACCTCGCAAAGATGAAGTCTTTAAATACCTCTCTTGCTGCTTGAATATTCTCATCAGGTATGAGTACAAACGGCACCCCTGAGACGTGCTCAGTCGGGGTACCCAGCTCTTCCAACTTCGCTGATGCTTTTAGAAGACTAGCATAGTTTTGGGTATCAGAAGGCGACACAGGCTTGCCAGTCCCGGTCTCCTGAGAAGGAGATGAAGCAGTCACAGTGACTGAAGAAGAACCAAGAGCTACTTCCTTAGTAGCTTTATCGGCTTGCAGTGATGGCTCTGCCACCATGGCTGGAGCAGCAACCGAATTCAAATCCCCACTACCTTCGTGAGTAGTACCCTTCACCATAGGCGGACATTCTGAATCGTCATCCTTAAGGGCCAAAGCAGACCCGTCATGAATCAGATCTGAACTAGTCGAAGTCGATGCCTCACAACAAGAAGAAAGCTTCTCCTCTGCCACCTCAATGGCAATTACAGCATCAGCACAGGGAGTGCTGGCGAAAGGAGTAGGTTTCTTCTTATTCTTAGTGGCGGTGGCGGAGGAATTTGGTGCTCCGGCGAACCTAGTCATCTTTGAGGAACCTTGAAGAGGATGTCGTTGTTTATTGCGGAACTTCATTGAGTCAGACTTAATAGAAGAAAGGAGGCAGAGAGTTCTCGCCGGAGCGGCGTGGTGCCCTCCGACGGTGGATGAGCGGTGGAAAACCCCTTATCCGAAGAAATCGCCTTTTCGCTCTTAGGAGAGAGAAAAAATTCTTATATTGAGTCCGTAACTTTAACATTCTAGAGTTAAACGCCACAAATCATCAAACCCGTAAACTCTTTGATATGTTATTAAAGGTACATTTATGGAAAATATCACAGTCCAACAATCATGTGATTTAAATTTTTCTGATCATTAATCTCCCCTGAATCAGGAAAAATCAAATATTCCATTAAGTAGATCAAGTACATGTAAGAAGACGATTTGACAAATATATTTGGTTAGGAAATAATTGGTTAGTTAGGTTTAGCCGTTTAGGAAACATATTGAATATCGAAAAATGATTAGATATAGCCAGTGATGACTTCATTCTACGGCCAATGCTGTAAAGATCAATCAAAGCTAGTATACACATGCAAAACAAGATATGATTAAGCAAGACCACAATTATTAGTCCTACCCAATGCAAAACATAAAGAATGATTGTAATATATCATGTTATATTATTCCGATATCTATGATTTCTTGTATGATTTGTTAATTAATTGTGTGACCCAACTTTGGATCTGTGACGTAGATATGCACATGTAACCAAGATACTAAAAATTTGTTTTCAGATAAAAAAATATTTTATTTTTAAATTTTATTTTCATAATTAATGCTTTGTCATGGACTCATACTGCTTCGTTGGAATGTGGATACATTTTTAATCAAGAAGAAATGATTAAAAGAAAACATGCGCGCGTGAACAAACGTGCATTTAGTTAGTGCGTGTGTTGTTAAGAAGAGTGAACACGTGGGCAGCAGATCACACACTGAAACACAACTCCGACATACTGTCGGATCTTCTGTAAAAGCGTAGGTCCTACCTATAATGATATCTCGCACCACGAAGCCATCATATGCTCCCAATAATTGTCGCCGATTGCGGAATTTCTTCACTTTTTAAGAGGGCGCGTGTGCGCACGCACATTTTTACTTTTAGTAGTACTAATAAACAAATATTATCTCCCTTCATTTTAAATGTAAATATAGAGTTTGTACACACAAATTTTGAAAATATTTGATTTTATATCTATTTATATTATTATTTGAGAAGTAAATTAGTTAGTTTTTCATATTATTTATAAATTTAGATAGTTTTTTTGTCTCAATATTTTTTATTGTAACCTAAATCATTAATTTAAAGCCAATAAATTTGTTCAAAAATTAAAAGATCAACTACTCTCACTTACAATATTTCTAAACTTTCTTCCATGATCCTATCATATAGCCAAGTAATGGAAACACAATCAATATATAATTGATTACCACTAACAAATTATTATATTATATAATTATTAATAAGTTAATATAGTGAAAATATTAAAGAAACCTTATTTTATAATAAAAAGTTGGGTTATAAGTTATAAAAAGTTTAAAACTAAAAAGAAAACTGGAACATTCATAATCAAATACTAATTAGTTACATATTTTTTAATACTATTAAAATATTTTGCTTCATTTTATTGGAAATTAAATATTTGTTTAAAATTTATACGTAAAAATTAAATTTATAAAAATATATAAAATTAAATAGACTAAAATGATAAACAAGAAAGTTATCAAAATTATTTTGAAAATTCATACATACAGAAACACAAAAATATAAAACTTCGAATATAAAGTTTTCTATAGTAAAATTTTAAATATAAAATTTCATTGTATAAAATCTTATAATTTGAGATTTGATGTTGTTTGGAGTATATAAAATCTTATATTTGAAGTTTTAAGATTTATACTAGAAATATTCTTAATATTTTTTAATCATATTACAACGAATAATAGTGTGTTTTGGTAAAAAAATATTCTATAAAACTGTTTGAAACGATCATATGAGTCAGATTTGATAATTATTATATTTGAAAATGATGATTCTCTGTTAGAATGATCGTTTTGTCTATAAAACTTTCCAAAAAAAAATATTCATAAATTATGGTTAGAAAGATTTCTCCCGGAGTACGCCGATTACCTAAATGGTCTAAGAGTATCATAATCGGTTGGTTTTCTTGTGTTTTCGTTTAAATCATCTTTGATACAAAATGCTATTCTTTCTATCGAAATTTCTAAAAACAGACTTGAATATAAGAGATTATGGATCTAAATACCGAATAATTTAAGAAAACTTAGTTAAGCTATCAAATAAATATTACTAACAAGTTTTCATTGATGGAGGCGCGTGAGTGCGCATGGTGTCGTGGGCGTGTGAGGAAACAACTCAACATGCACGATCACGCGGGGTGACCCACATGCTCCATCTCCCATGTTAATGTACGCAAAGTAACTAGAACCCTTGACCAATATTGCTCACACTTAATTATAACTTAAAACATGTTACATTAAAGTTAGAGATAAAGGCAAAAGCAGTGGAATAAAAAGAAAGTAATACCTTTGAAAATGTCATTGCTCATAAAAGTAGAAACCATGATGATGTTGTTCATATGTAAATATTCACCTCACATGTATATGATTGGTTTATAGCCATTGATTGCCCCACAATTTTGAAGAAGTTGGGATTTATACGGATTGTGTTTTGTACCAACCACTCGAATTAGTCAATTCTCTCATTATATCCAGAGTGTTATCTCCAACCCCAAAACTATTTTCCCTTTCTCAATTATTTTAAAAAACAAAAATCTGGACAAATAATTGGCTACACTGTTGGAGACTTGACTCAGTCTGATATGCCGTAACAAATCAAAACTCAAACATTTACCAATAAAACTTTTTCTTATTACATGTCAAACAATAAGCTTGATAATGCTCAGGTTCTGTATATTATATGTAAGTATTAATTTAAGTATCCATCAACTTCTTAAGTACATCGCATAATCTAAACTATGTTCTTGGAGCACTATGAAAATTCTCTTAGTTGTAGACCGAACAGTTCTATTGCTTTTAATGACACTGTTTTTAAATCTCAAGACCCAAGACATAGACAGACACAACTATGCATTATGTGTACAGTTGCATTAAACACAAAATTGAGTACATGGGCTCTTGTGGGAGATGAAAGGATAAAATATTACATCAATAATGTTGGTAAAGTACAAAAAAGGAAGACATGGCAAAAGCTAAAGGGGACAAGTTGGGGATACAGAGTAATAAACTAGTAGAAAATAAAAGGAAACCAATAATGATGGATTGTAATTAGCCACCTGACAAAATCTCATCATTCAACTCCTATATTAATCCCTCCTTGGCCTTCAATATCATCACACATCATCTCTCTCCACAACAAACCTAATCTCTCTCTCTTTATAAAAAATACCATTTCCCATCTGTATCTTCTTGATTCGTCTCTCTACACAGAAAGATCAAACCATTTTAGTCTTCCTGTTTTTCTCTGTTCTCTGTTCTTGTCTAGATTAAAACCTTCTATAGGAAAGTTTCAGTGGTTGGATAAGTCATGATGATGGGAAAAGAAGATCTAGGTTTGAGCCTAAGCTTAGGACTTTCACAAGATCATACACCTCTTCAACTGAGTCAGAATCCTAGCTCCAACAATCTCCATAGATTTCCATGGAACCAAACATTCGCCTCTAAACCAGGTATTTGCTCCATGAAACTTTCAGATCTTGTCTGCTACTTGAAGTTTTTTCAGTATTTGACTGTCTTGGTTTTTGCTCTTTGCAGATCTTGGCAAAATAGACGTGAACAGTCTTCCATCAACGGTGGACTGCGAGGAGGAAGCAGGAGTGTCGTCTCCTAACAGTACGATCTCGAGCACCATAAGCGGTGGGAAGAGGAGTGAGAGAGAAGGAATCTCTGACCACGATGACATCACTCCGGATAGAGGCTACTCACGTGGAACCTCCGACGAAGAAGAAGACGGCGGAGAAACGTCGAGGAAGAAGCTCCGTTTATCTAAAGATCAGTCTGCTTTTCTTGAAGAGACTTTTAAAGAACACAACACTCTCAATCCCGTAAGTTCAAAAAAAAAACTATTGTCAGAGAAACCAATGGTTTTATTGTAGTAATTCTGAAATAACGAGGGTGTTTTTGTAATTATACAGAAACAGAAGCTAGCTTTGGCCAAGAAGTTGAACCTGACAGCAAGACAAGTGGAGGTGTGGTTTCAGAACAGAAGAGCAAGGTGAGGGATTTTCTTCAATTAACAATAAATTACATTTATATCCGGTTTAGTTTTGGTTTGGTTTGACTGAGATTATTTTTGGTTTTGTTGCAGAACCAAATTAAAGCAAACGGAGGTGGATTGTGAATACTTAAAACGATGCGTAGAGAAACTAACGGAGGAGAATAGGCGACTTCAGAAAGAAGCTATGGAGCTTCGAACTCTCAAGCTGTCTCCACAGTTCTACGGTCAAATGACTCCACCAACTACACTCATCATGTGTCCGTCGTGTGAGCGTGTGGCTGGGCCATCATCAAACCATCAACACACTCACCGGCCCGTTCCGGTTAACCCGTGGGTTGCTTGTGCTGGTCAAGTGGCTCATGGGCTGAATTTTGAGGCCTTGCGTCCACGATCGTGAGAGGAAGGGTGTTTTGTTGATTTTTAGTTGTTGTGTTGGTTTGGTATTAATATGGCTGTGTGGGGTTCATTGTAGTTTTGGATGATAAGCCTTCCTAAGTTTATGTGCTATGTATGATGTAACCTTCGTATACATATAAATTAGCAAAGTTTAGTTACAATATTAACCAAATTATGAAGCTATCTACTTTAACTAGTTTGATGTAAAATAAAAACTAGCTTCCTATATGTTTTGACGAGCTGAGAAGCTTAATTGCAATTTTCGGGTCAGTAGCATCCAATTATGAGCCCAATAACAAGACAGGGTCACGTGCTTGTGACCACAAAACCACCAAAAAGAAAATTATTCAGCAACTTTGATCGATTGATCAAATTTAATCGTCATTTGTGATATTTGAGACATGAAAGCTAATAAATAAGTATGCATTCCAGTTCATTAGTTGCAATATCTCTATCGAAGACCAAGAGTGTTTATTTAGTCAACTGCGTATCAAGCAAATGGTCACAAAGTTTCAAACTTTCAATGATCCATGTTTCTCAAGTATCAGAAAGCTAATAAACTACATGAGCAAATCCTCACAAAATCAAAGCTCCATTGCTTGTTAATTTCAAAGTCAAAAGAGATATACAACCTGCAACCAAAAACTACAAAGAAGAAAAAAAAACATGTTTTACCACTGAAAAAAACTACAAAAACAAAGCAGGAAACATTACATACAAGTATCAAACAGCAATAGCCACAGTAAAAGAAGCAACATGTTTTACCACTGAGTATGAATATACCTATAATGGATGTGAACTCAGCTCCCCCAGAGGCAGCTCCTTTATACTGTGCCATCATATGGCGGCTAGTGTAGAGATTGGGGAGTACTCTTCTAAACAGCAATCAGTATGCTTCCTTTAAATAAGTCTGGAACTAATTAATTGAAAGTTCAGTCTTCCTAACATATCTAGATCATATATATATATTCAAAATCAATAAGAAATTACTCACATAAATCTCATTTCTATACATATCTTGAATGCAAATTCTGTAGAGCTTTGGGTTCATGCAAATAAGCAAGTCTTGTCATATCGTCTACTCCAGATGTTGGCGCTTCCGTATCTTTTGGATAAAAATTAGAGGCTTTTGTAACAACCTGAATTTTTGAAACAAAAATAGAAAATAAGAAAAATTGTAAAAAGAGAGAGAGAGAGAGAGAGTTTTCTTTTGCTTTCTAATTCACGTGAGAAGGACGCATACATGTTTCCCTGAAGTGCAAAGCAGTTTGATCTCTTGGCCATTAACCTCTATAATTTCACCATCAATCCATGCTTCATCAGGATCCTCCACCCACACACACGACCAAACTGAAGGGAATGAAAATAGAAGAAAAAAAAAAGGATTAGTTCTCACTGATAAACTGTGAACAGTTAACTTCGACGGACCCACAAAGAGGACACGATAAGCTACGCAGCTGCGGTTTTCACGAATATAGCCAAAAAGATCTAGAATTTGTAGTTGGCTGAACTAAATCTCAAAATTTTGAGTGAGGAACAAAAACCAAAGCCTCAGATGATTTGATCTTCTAAAGACTATCAAACTAAACACGAAACTTTGCAGTTTTACTCCTAAAGATATCAAGAAAGAAGAGTAAATAGAAAGACGATAGAAGCAAGAGTACTAAAAACACACTTCTTAAAGCTCCTTTATGGTAACCCCAGTGACACTTTTAAATTTAATGGCTGATCAATACCGTAAAATGTAAGAAAAATCTTTAAGTGTTGTGGTAATGAACAAAACATAGCTTATGAACAGATTCAAAACAAGATTTAGACCAAGGGTCAAACTCAAAAACAGAGAGTTCAAAGTTGAAATCAAATCTCTAAATGCATACAAGACTATCATCATCTACAAATGAGGAATCTAACTGCAGCCAAAGCCATTGTCTAAAACTATAAACTCTTAAAAACATTAAACTAAATTAAGCAACCATATTCGTCTCAAATCAAACCAAACCAAATACCCTAAATTACTAGTTTCGCCCAAATTAAACTGGATGTGATAAAAATAATGAGGCATACCGCATATCTGGACAAATAATTGTTTGTTTGTTTCTGCATTGTTTTTATTTGTTTTCTAACCTCACTGGGATTTGGTCTGAATTAAATTAATTAATTATCCCCACACTACAAGACTTGGTTTAATGCTATTATTAAGTAATAAGAAAGTCTAATATACTCCACTATTAGCATTCACGTATATGGCAAATAAGCCCTTTTTTTAATTGTCTTTACTAACAAAAGGAAATTCGAAAAAGGAAAGCAAACTCTCATTCCCTCTTACGCTTTAGGATTGCCGAATCAGTCTCCATAAACGAACTTTCATCTACAAAGTAGTCTCCTTTGACCCTCCTTCTCTTCTGTCTGTGCTTGTGTTCATCCTCGATCGAGTCATCTTTCTCAAGAATATCTTCTGCCAAAGAATCCTATTGAAAACAAACAAGTATCAAAAATTGTTAGGGCTTCAACACAAACATGGATGAAGTAGATAGAAAGAGTTTACCTTCTTCTTCTTGAGAGTGGGAGGAGGAGTGGTCTTCTCAACCACCTACACACATTGTTTTATCAAACAATTTAGTCACCTTGTGGAGTACGAACTGAGTAAGTCCCCAAGTCTAAGAGGCAACCTAATTTTCACAAAAAGCTGTCACAATTGACTAACCTTAGGGACTTACTCAGTTCTTAATCCTATTGAAAACAAACAAGTATCAAAAAGCTTCAACACAAACATAGATGAAGTAGAAAGAGTTTACCTTCTTCTCCTTGAGAGATGGAGGAGCCTCATCCTTGGTGAAAAGAGGAGAGCCTGGAAGAGGAGTGGTCACCTACACACATTGTTTTATCAAACAATTTAGCCACCTTGTGGATTACGAACTGAGTAAGTCCCCAAGTCTACTTAGTAGAGTAGAGTAGAGGCAACCTAATTTTCACAAAATGCTGTCACAATTGACTAACCTTAGGGTCGACGATCGGAGTCTCACCATCACCACCAGCCGCGGCAGAGAGAGGGGACATAGATACTGGGACCGGAGGAGTGTTGGTGGTTACCGCCGATACCAAAGCCGATTCATCGTCCAACGCCACCGCATCCGTGACGGTGGGAGTCTCACTGAAGCAGAAACAAACACTCTCTGCGTTTACCTTCATTGAAAACTCCATTATTTCCAGACGGTCCGAGGAAGATGAGAGAAAGAATCGCTTTTCTTATGTTTTGTTTGTGTTTAATCGATGTGTGTTTGGTGGTGGTTTTCTATAATCTCGGTTGACGACACACTTGGGAGATAAGAATGAGCTAATTTCAAAGAGTGTACAATATATGTACTTTATGTTGAGGTGGTCGGGTAGTTGATAGGCCTTGCGTTAGCATAGTGTGGGAAAATTATAAGCACCAGGTTTGAGATTTTTGGACTGGTCTAGGAGCTTGGTTTAGGCGTTGAACATTTACTCTGCTTTTCTTAAACATTTACTTTGATCTCCCTTTTGACTTGATTTAAGGCTTACTCTGCTTTTCTTAAACATTTACTCTTGTTGCGCAAACTGATATAAGACAATGCTAAAGTTTGTTTGTGTGGGTATTATTTCATTTTATTAACATGTGTGTGTATTGCTAGCATTTCCATGTATGACGCTATGTGGTGTGATTAACCCAAAAATTGTTAGCAAGGCTCAGAAATTGAATCCAAAGCTTGATGGTATGATACAAGTTTTGACGAAGATAGATGTTTATATTAACAAAAAAAATGACAAGTAGGGTCTGATTGGTATGGATCATCGGTGTGGATCATTAAGCCGATGACGTAACTATGATGAAACAATACAAGAAGTTGGCTCTTCTTCTTCATCTCAACAATATCAAGTCTCAAGTCTAGCCGTGTAGAAGGGGCTTTAATCTCGTGTTAGATGCTTGGTATCTTTTGTCTGATCCTTGTAAGAGAAACTTGTATGATCAACATAGACTATATCGCAAGGCGGAAGAAGCGTTTTCATCCAAAAAGAAGAAAGTTAGTAGTACCTTTTCGACAATGTGCACTCATTGCTTGACATACTCTGAACATGTGAGAGCTGATGGTCATCTTGACAAGACCTTGCCTTGTCCCTTCTGCTATGGACTTTTCATCGCTACATAGAGCTTTCCCGAGATGGTTAATGGGAAGCCATTCATCAGCTCCTCCTCAAGCAACAAGCGGAAACACAAGTAGTGATACTCCAAACTCTACTCTCGAGGCACACATGCTTTTCAAGAAGCCCATGACAACATGAAATCTATACTCTAGATGTGAAGATTTGATCTCTACTCATGTGGCACAGAGGCTTTTTTCAAGAAGCCGATGGACAGATGTGAAATAAGAAGATAGAATCTTGATTTAATGTTTTTTTATGTGATATTTTTGTATTAGATGAAGTTGATTAATCAAAGGTTGTACACTTTATCACTAGTTGTCTCATGTTTCCAAGTTGAAACAAGAATGAACAATCTTACAAATACTAACAATTTCCCTTCTTTATAGCTTTAATCTTCAAAAGTTGTTCAGAATCTTAATTCGTTTGTCAGGCTGTTGATAACCTTCGCTTACATAAGCTCGAAGAAAGCTTTACGAAAGCATAACCAAATTATGAAGCTATCTACTTTAACTAGTTTGATGTAAAATAAAAATTAGCTTTCTAAATATCTTTTGACGAGGTGAGAAGCTTAATTGCAATTTATAGCAAAATCATGAAACTATTTATCTTATACCATTTTTAATGACCCGAAAGTTCTGTGATGGTAGGTTAATAACCTTTTCATAGTCAAAACTACAACATATGATCCTTTCATATTTAATCTTATGGCTTCTATGTTAATTGTTTTAGCTTATTTGAGTAATGTAATATGTAAACAACTCATCAACCATCTGAATCAGCGGGTTTTACTGTTTCTTCTATGCAAATATAACATGTATTAATGTATGTTAAAAAGCTAGAAATGAAACACCTATTAATTCATTAGTTTTGAATTTTTTGTTAACTCATAAAACCGGAGTAATCTCCTTTTTTAAAGGGTAACCGCACTAACCTTCTGTCTAGTGCAATTTATTATGGATTAGCTTGAACTAAAATAGAAAGTTTATGAGCTATCTTGGCGGAAATAGCTAAAGAAAACTTTAATCATTTGCAAGTAATTAAATTTAATCAATCGATGAAAGTTGCTGAACAATTTTCTTTTTGGCGGGGTTTTAGTTGTCACAAGCACGTGACCTCGTCATCGTTACTACAAATAAAGCACGTGACTGCTATTGGGCCCCTAATTGGATATTAATGGGCCAAATCATAAAGCCCATTTATAATAACATTCTTCGTCATCGTTTCGCTCTGTTTCTTCTTCTCTCAATCAAATCCCAAACCCCGTCGTCGCTTTAGAAATTTCCCAATCCCTAAAACCCTTAACGAACAACCAGATGCTACTTAACTTGATCCGTCGTCGTATTTCTCCCTCAAAGCTCTCACCTTTACGCTTCTCCACAACTTCCTCACCCGCCGAGAGACTCTACAACCATCTCCAATCATCCACTCCCAACCTCGAGAAGGAACTCACTTCATCAAACATCAAACCCAACGCGACTTGTATCAACGAGGTAATCACAAGATGCAAACCAAACCAATTCCAATTAGGTCTCAGATTCTTCATATGGGCAGGAACCCAATCCGGACACAGACACAGTCCTTACATGTACACCAAAGCTTGCGACTTTCTCAAAATCAGAGCAAACCCAGATCTGATCAAGAACGTTGTCGAATCCCTTAAGAAAGATGAGAGCTTTGTTAGTGTTAAGACCATGAGGGTTGTTTTGTCTATTTGTAGCCAAGCGAAGTTAGCTGACGTGGCGTTGTGGGTGTTGAGGAAGTTTCCTGAGTTTGGTTTATGTGTGGATACTGTTGCGTATAATGTGGTGATTAGGTTGTTTGTTGATGAGGGTGATTTGAGTATGGGTGTTAAGTTGATGGAGGAGATGGATGGTGTTGATCTTTGTCCTGATGTGATGACTTATACGGCTTTGATCAATGGGTTTTGTAATGCGGGTGAGGTTGAGGAGGCTTGGGAGTTGGCTAAGGGGATGAGTAAGAAGGGATGCGTGGTTAACACGGTGACGTATTCGAGGATTTTGGAAGGTGTTTGCAAGTGTGGTGAGATGGAGAGAGCGTTGGAGTTGTTGACAGAGATGGAGAAAGGAGAGGAGGGTACTAGTCCTAATGCGGTTACTTATACTTTGGTGATACAAGCGTTTGTTGAGAAGAAGCGTGTTGGAGAGGCGTTGATGGTGTTGGATAGAATGCGAGAGAGAGGATGCTCGCCGAATCGTGTTACGGCTAGTGTTTTGATTCAAGGGGTTTTGGAGAATGGTGAGGAGGGTGTTAAGGATCTTTCGAAGTTGGTGGATAAGTTGGTGAAATTCGGTGGTGTTCCTCTTTCTGAGTGTTTTAGTTCGGCTGTTGTGTCGTTGATCCGTTTGAAGAGGTGGGAGGAGGCGGAGAAGATGTTCCGTTTGATGTTGGTTCGTGGGATTAGACCTGATGGTCTTGCGTGTAGTCTGGTTCTCAGGGAGCTGTGTTTGTTGGAAAGGTATCATGATTGTTTCCTTTTGTATGAGGAGATTGAGAAGGCGGGTGTGGTGTCAACGATAGACACGGATGTACACTCTGTTCTTTTGCTTGGTCTATGTGAACAGGGGCGTTCTTGGGAAGCTGCAAAGCTGGCGAAGTCTATGCTTGATAAGAAAATGAGATTGAAAGTTTCTCAGGTTGAGAAAATCATTGAAGCTTTGAAGAAGACTGGTGATGAAGATCTCATGCGTCGTCTCTCTACCAGTTAATTCAACGGTCCATCAGAGTTTTCTGAGTTCTTTAGCTTTTGCATTAGTGAAGTTTTTAGTGATGTTACTGTCTGTATAGTTGAAGATAAACATGTTCCTCGTTAGCCTCAGTTTCCTAGGAAGTAATTACTGAACCGGTTCAGTATTGTTGTCAAAGAAGATGAAACTGTAGATTGTTTTTTCTCTGAAAATTATATTGCAGTGAAGGGGAGGCTTCCACATCTAGGATCAGATTCTAGCTTTATCCTATTGTGCTGTCCTTACTCTGCAGCTGAAGGTGAGATAGGAAACATCTCACCTAAAGTCCTAAACCTTTTTTGAGTTTTACCTGTAATGGCTTTGGTTATAATATTATGTACATTTTGATCATTTCAGCATTCAGTTCATGCGGGAATATTGATTCAACCTTTATCGAGGAACTTCAGAAGTTAGAAGCTCAAAACCTTGGAGGCTCTTTGGATACAACAAAGACCTCTGGGAACTGGAAGGCTATGGTTGTGCACTTCTCTTTTGTTTTATTTTTGTAGAGACAAACATTTGTGCTTCGTTATTTTGTTTGTTGCCACAAAAATAAATGGATGGATTGTAACTTACATGTATCTCTATTCTCCATAGAAAAAAATATCTCCCCAATGTTTGTTAAACTGCATAGCTAGTAGTAGTAAACAAGAAAATAAGCATCATACGATACCAACATGCCTCTCAGCAATAGCTTTTTCTGATAAATAAAAAAAGCTAGGCTAATCTGAGAATAGCATCTCTGTGTCAATCGTCTAATCTATCTTTGCAGCCTTGTTTCCCCGAGATTTTCCTTCTTGTAGTTGAATGTTCTGATCTTGCAGCTTTTTTGCTTCACTTCCCTCTTTCTCCGGCTCAACTCTCTGTCTCTTGAAGGATCCCGCAGCAGAAGAATGTGGTGGTGCATCAGTCATTAGTTTAACTATCTGGTCTGTATTACTCTGGATCCGACCTAAACTAGTCAAAAGCTTGTTCCAATATTCGGCTGCTGAAAGAAACCAAACACATATAGACAAAAAAAAAACAAAGTGTGAGATTCAGGAAAGCACAAAGAGATATAAGTTGAGAGTAGTTTTACTTACTGGGAAAAGTTAGCTGCTGCTGCCGAGTGGCTTGAAGCGTTTGTTTCTGTCGAGCTTGTTGTGACTCTCCTGCTTTAATTGAACTCTGCTCCACAATGACTTTGGGATTACCATCATGTGCATTAGCATCTTCTTGAGGCACTTTTGATAAGATGTTTCGAACAGTCTCAATTACTAAAAGAAGAAGCAAAAGACAAATGTCAACAAACAGATTCATTACACACAGTGAGTAACACAAGTTTAATTACGTTGTTGCTCTTTCTCCCTGGCCCTTTTATCAGAGGACAAACTCGGTGCCTTATTTGAATCTCCCTTTGGTGGCGAATCTACACAACAACCACAACAAGTATCAAACACAACCCAAAAATAAATAAATAAAAACACGAACTCTGTTATATTCATGTGTCAACACGCACTTGGAGTAGTCTTACAAGATCCAGTATCTTCTTCTATTTGATTAAGAGCGGTTACTTTTCCCATTTTAGCACGAGCTTTTGCATCTTCACCAGTCACAAGACCAACAAAAATTAAAAGTCTTCCTTCAGCAAAAACATGAAACTTGCGTGACAAGAAAATTAAGTAGTTTTTAGGGTTTCAATTAGCTTACTTGGTACACCGTCTTCAAAATACGTTTTGAAGAACTCTTGATTCGATCTTTCAATATTACACCAAGCTACAGAATCAAGAATCCGAAATCACCTAAAGGTTTATATTTGCCGCAGAGAGACCCAATTAAATGATTCAGCGTATTATATAAGGGAGTTTAACCTAGCACTGTGAATCCGTATGCGATTTGATATCGATCAAGTAGATGTGTCGCAGTTTCTTTCTTGCTCATGTACCTCAAAATGCACTCCCTGACTCTTTCATGAAGCTGTAACAGAATCAAAAAGAAAAGAATAAAGAGATTCGATTTTTATTAGTAGTCGTGTAATTAAAAGATCATCCATGATTTTTGGATTGGATCAAAACTTACGTAATTGGAGAATTGCTTTGCGCTCGGACAACCGCTTGGAACATCTGGCATTTCGGGAAACATTCACAGATCAAGAAACCTCTCACTGCGTTCTTTTGGAGTCTTGGAGTCAGAGAGAGAGAGACTTGAGGAAAATAAGAAAGGGGAGAGTGAAGGAGAGCGCGGAATAAGTTTTCACGTTTTTTCTGCTGACTCTCTTTTATATAGGGGTAGTTTTTAAACTCGGCCTATTTGATCTTATTGAGCTGACAGATAATTTAAAAAGGAAAATTGCTTATTTAGACTAAAAATGTTAACTATGTTTCATTAGACCAATTTCTATTTTATATCATGTTTATCTCAAATATCCTTTTTTCAAAAAAAAAAAAAAAGTTTTACAAAAAATAGTAACTCCTAAAGGCGTTCTTTTTTTTTTTTTGTTCTTTTGTTTTATGTTATTAACTAGGTAGTTTGCCTGCACTTGCGGGCTTGATAATTTTACTAATATCTATAAATAAATATATAATCAATTTATGTAAATTATAATAAATTATTGTTCATAGACTCAAAATATTTAATCAAAAACTAAACATATTCTTTCTATATATAAAATTTTTCATCATCATATAAATAATTTTCATTACACAACTTATATTTGAAAATACTCATAAACTTAAAATATTTAGTAATAAATTAATATCATTTTTAGACATGACAAAAAAATGAAAAAAAATTATCTTTAATAATGTTTTGGATAACACAATATAAATTATCTATACATAAATTCTTTGCGAATTGATTTTTCATAATTAACTATATATTAACAAGTAGAATTATTTTTCAACGTTAATAAAGACTTTATAACACAATATAAAAAAATTCGATAAGGATAATTATCAAATTCATGACATACATTTTTTAATTTAGAATTAATTATATATTAATAAATATAATTATTTTTCAAGGTTGATAAAGACTTTATCACATAATATAAAAAAAATTAAAATAAGGATAATTATCAAATAAATAAAATTCGTTTTTAATTTTTAATTAATTATATATTAACCAATATAATTATTTTCAAGGTTAATATAGACTTTATAACCCAATA